TAATTTTACTATTTATTATTCGAAATCCCTCTTCATTCATATAATATTCTATAATGATAAATATTTCCAACAATATTCAAATTAATATCAGAAGGGATTTCGTGGATAGTAACTTATTGAAAACAATGATGGATGCGTCGCTCGATTTCATGGATTAGTTGAAGTTAGACATTAACACCGTTGGATGCCAGTTTAGTGGTCTAGAGGTTTAGAGCTCGTGCGCGAAACCGATAGGTCCTGGGTTTGAATCCCGCGAAGCAGGATAGTGGATACGCACTGATGGGGATTCCCACAGTAGGACGAAACGGTCATCCAGTGCTTCCAGGTTTTCCATTGTGGTCTACCTTCAACTAACTCGTGATCTCAACCATTAAAATATTCAAATTGTTAGATTATCTTTAATAGAGATTCCTACAATACACACATATTCCTGATAATAACAATAATGTGAGAATGTATGAAATCAATTGTTTACTCATTGAAATTTGAGATGGGTGAGATATATTTTATGACACCTTATACAGGACATAGTGTAGGGGAATATGTTGTAAGTGCATTATTCCTCTAGTCAAACTTCTACCTACATGTTCCTGTCTAGATCATTTCAGTAAACGTAGTAATCTTGTAGTAATAAAAGCTTTCTGTACAGTGTTTATTCTTCAGTTCTTTAAAGGTGGCTTAATAAAGTGTTTACAAGCGTTCATAGTTACTGATTTAGACAGTAAATCATATAACAGCGAAAATTCGTTCCACGTACCTCAATAATGCACATTCACAACCAAATATGTGTTAACACACATGTACTCATTAGTGGTCTAGCTTCGATCGATTCATAAATTCAACTATTTAAATCACTACAATCTCTGCAAATTCCCATTCTGATAAAACATTGATCATTAGAAAAGTTGTGTTATGGTTGATCGTTTTAGATTATGGATAGAATGAAACTGTATGTTGTCGATGGTGTTTAACAAATTGATTAAATGTTGATATTCTTAACGAGTAACTTAAAGACCTTCAAATGGAGATCACATTAAATTTTAATGACTCTGTTGTCAGGTTACCTGGAGGTTTTAGAAAGGACTGAAATCAGTCAGCATTGAAGGTCAAAAAGCACGACACTAATCAAGACTAGGTGATTAATCACAGTGAAAATCTCAATTCTACAGATTAATCGATCCTTGGATAAGCCAGCGATAATGTTTCAAACTATGAAACTGAATGACGACTGCTCAAGTCCTACGGTGAAAATTAGTTCTCTCAATATCTCAGAAATGAACAGCGAAGAAGAGTTTGCTAGCATGAAAGCCGGTTACATGATTTCTTGCTGACTACCTCTAATCATCGAACATCTATACATAATACACGTGGCGTTGTATCCCTTACGCTTAGGGCTACATTAAAGTCTCGTTAATAATTAAGTCTAGACAATCGAAACTTTTGTTACTATGCAGTGATCGATGAACACATTCAGTGTGTGTTTCCACAAAGCACTGATTAAAACTGAATAAATTCTGTGAATATTCTCACTTAACGATTTGAACATATTACATTATTTTCATCATTATAGAATTTCGGTGATTAGGTTTTTATTGAGATCATGAGAAGCTATAACCAGTGGAGTTCTACCTTGTCAGGCGTATAGCAGTTACCCACCAAAGACAATGAACTATGGTCGCGCGACGTCATGGATTGGATGAAGTTAGACAATACCACCGTCAGAGTTTAGGAGTTCGTGCGTGAACAAAAGGTCTTGGGCTGGAGTCCCTCGTGTGGGATGATGAACGTGGATTGTTAAGGAGCCCCACACTAGAACCAAATAGCTGTCTAGTGCTTACAGATTTTCGATGATGGTCTAACGTTGATTTGTTAATGATCTCAATGAAAACATTATTTTTAATCAGGTTGTTCATCAGTTGACTTTCTACATCTTTTTAGGTAGTACTTTGGGATTAGAATAAAGTATCTTAATCTGTTTGCATTCTTTATCTCACTGGATGACTTTATCGCCGTATAAACAACACTGAGACATACATTTACCCAGATGGTTAGTTCCAAGGAAGGGGAAATGAATCTTTTGGATGGCACTGGTAATCAAAATTCAGAAATTTAATAAAACTTCGTGGCTTTTTCAAACGTATTATTGAATAAATTAGCATGACTGTTAAGAAACCAAGCTGTTGGTTTACAAATGGTATGCAAAAACTAAATTCTAAAGGCAAGTACATTTTAACTGAATTTCATTTATGTTTATTTCTTGAAAAATATTTTGCTCATAATTGTATCATTGTAACTGGAAAAGTCATCACTCGGCTAAGTTATGCATATCAAGTCAAATGACTGAACACTAGGCAATCAGTTTGGCATCTTCCTGTGAACTATTCAGCTAATTCATATATGTCTCTAAATTATTTTTAAGCAGAAAATTCAATTCCAAATTATTAGTCAATAACACATACATACACACACGTTTAACTAAGCACACGCCCAAGTGTTCTTGCTTATCTACATAGATCAATTAAGTTTCTTTATATAGCGGAACAAACGAATGCTATATAATGGGTTAAATAAAGAAAACAGGAGCAACGGAAGGATTTCGACATATTTGTTTATTTACTTAATTTTTTTTTGTTTATTTGTCTTCTTTTTTTGTCTTCTAAAGAATCATACAACCCTTTTAGAGAATCAATTTTGTTTCCTCATAAGTTTTCTTTTTCAAATTGATGGATGTATATTTATATAACCTGTCCAGTAAACACGCGAACTAACATTTAAAAAGAAAACAACTTTGCATACGAAATTTCAAAGCACATGAATTTTATTTCCTTTACAATACTCCTCGTTTATGATTAGACAGTTGGTTCATTTTTATCTCCGTCAACTAAAACATTCCTAAAAGAATTTTAGCTTTTTAGTTAACCAATTGCTTCATACAAATTTGAACTTCAAATATTTAGATACAAATGTATACATAACCGCCGTACGGCACTTCAATAGTATTCACTTTCAAAGTGATTTCATTATTAGAAATCATTCAACATATATTTAATAGTTTCATCAACATAGGAGGTTAAAGGTCGTCTCAATCTTAAGTTCTCTTTACAGGAAGTATGATTCACTTGAAATAATTACTTTCTCTTATCTGTTGTTTTCTATAAAAAGCTCTTAATATTTTATGAACTTTCTAAATGTTACCTTACGCAAGTATTAGTAGTTTAGTTCGTATATGTACTAGATAGACTACTTTTTATAATTTATTAAATAATAATCAGGATGAAGGTTTGTGGAGATTGTAGTAATTTAATATTTGAAATCAACAGTCGATTTTAAACTAGACCAGCACGAAATACCTGGAAGCATTGGATGGTCATTTGGTTCTAACATGGAACTCCTTAGCAATGAGCATCTACGATCCCGCACATGAGACTTGAATTGGTTGAAGTTAGACATTAAGATTGTTGGTTGTTGGCTCAGTAGTCAGGAGGTTATGTTCACGCGTGAGATCGAAGGTCCTGGGTTCAAGTCCCTCATGCAAGATCATGGATGCGCACTGCTGAAGAGTCCCATACCAGGATGAGACGGCTGTTCAGTGTTTTAAGGTTTTTCATAGTATCCTAGCTTAAAACCGACTCATGATTTCAATCATTAAATAATAATCATTATTTTTGACAAGATTTGCCAAAGTGAAAATATATAGCTTCCTACTTATTCTTTAGCTTTTAATGATCCTCTAATTAGATTTGTTTCATACTTACAAATTCAATCAATTAAGTAAACAATTCAGTATTTTTAATGAAAGTCGACTTTAGTAAAATCTTCAAAAATTCCCATTTACTCCCTTTTTTAACGTAAGCTAAAAGACCAGTTCATTTAAATTTTTAACCACTATAGTGAACTTACTAATTTAATATATCAAGCCATTAGGTCAATGAATGTTATAAATTTTGCATTATTTATTAAAATTCGTAAAATACAGTGTTATTCTTTGAAAATATTCCGATCAGTTGATTAGCTTAACATTATTTACCGCTTCCGACTCCATCACTGTCATTTATTTCCTGAGCAGAGAACCACTTAGTAAACGTTTGTGCTATATATCTTCCGTTACCAATTAGTTCAATAATTAATTCATGATTATGTAAATTATCACTTCGTGTATATCAGTTTTTTTCAGTCATCCGATGAGAAACGAGCTCATTTAATTTGGGTGTTTGACAATTATCAAGTATGAACTGACACTGGAAATGTGAATAACTGAATATCAGCTCACTGGTATTTGAACCATATGTTCGCTGCCAAACTTAAACGCCAATAGTTCGTTTCGTCTATAGTTCATAAAAATTCCCGTAAAACAGAGAACTTTTGCTTAATATTTACAAGTTTTCAATGTTTATTCAGCTAAAGACATTCCATAATGTAAAACTGTTTTCAAATGTGATAAACTCCACAGATACTCTGTATGAGGTTCTGTGTTGCTAAAAATAAGTCTTGTATACGGGACTATGGAAAAATTGTTCAGTTTTGTTGAATCATATCGACAATATTAATCAAATCAAATATTTTCAACTCTCAGCACCAATAATAATTTCCGATGATATTTGATGACAGTTTGACACTTATAAGGCTTGTAGTCTAAGACTAGAGCAAATTCCAACCGAAAGAGTACGGCGCTTTGCGGTATGGATTTGTCTTTGGCCACCTCTTTGCTAACTTTTAAGGATCCCGGCGGTTCGTTGCTCATGAAACAGTCAATTAAGTGTTTTACAGCCATTATTGTGCTACTTATTTTGATTCAAGTAATATCAAATAAATAACTAAGTTAACTTGTCCTATTTTTCACCTCGTGTGTCAAGTGAGTGATGAAGCGCATATTTATATTACGTTATTACAATACTGTTATATTAAATTGTCCAGCATTTTATTCATTTTCAGTCAAAAATTATCTCCAAGTATAAAAGAATGAAGTAAAGAAGAAGGAAATAATGTACAAATATTGGTCAAGTATATATTTCACCCACTGAATTGTTACCTGAATACAGCAACTTACTATGAATTAATGATCTGTAGGTTCTTAGTTGCTGTATAATGATAATAATAATACATCATTAACTAACATCACTTTCCCGTATGTATTGACGACCGATCTTCTTGCTGATACAAATCCTTATGAAGTTTAAGTAACGCATCTTTAAATGATTGTAAAGTAACTTGGTCGTCTGTTTTCGGCTGTTTATTCCCCAACAATGCCTTATCGAAACTCAATGCCATTTGCCAGACTTTGTCAAAACTTAGGGAAGTGTTGAATAAATGATGCAAATTAGCTTGAGTAAACAGATCCAATGTCTATAATCAGAAATGAAAAAATGTACGAGTAAAAAAATTGGAATCCGGGAATAGATTATTTCAAAATAGTGATCAGTGTTCTAACTAACTTTAGATTGAGAATGGCTAGTAGAAGTCAACTCACTTGGTGTGGAACAGGCATCACTTACAGTATGGAACTATAGTTCCGTAATGTTATGAATCAAATTAAGCTAGGAATATGAACCACTAGATGGCACTCCAGAGGTCTCAAGCCAATACTTTGATGGTTAGACAAAATGACATCAAGGGTTTTAGAATTCAACTGGATTTCATAGTCTTCAATTCTGAATGAAACTGAACTGAATCATTCAGTCGGTCATCAATTAAAATAACTGATGCAAAAACGAAACACATTTACAAAGTAAAAATTCCTGAAGATTGCATCTAAGCAAGCAAACAACTGGATAAAGAGTTTAAGGTAATATGAATTATCTGTCGAAGACTTCATTACGTTACTTTGAATAAAATCAGACCTAGGATCCCATTTATCGTGCCATCCCTACATAGAAATTAAGTGCGATGTTGACTGTGTCGTCAAATCATTTTCTAGGTTATGGTTACAAAAGACTTACATATGTGACTTAAATGTTTGAAATCGAATGTGTACTAACTCTTTGATAGAGTACATTAATTTATATAAGGTGTGCCAACACACAACATAAGTGTGTTTAAATATACATACAACATTCATATATACAATCATACAACGGATACATATCTATATTTCTTAGCACAGCTTCAGTCTAGACAAGAAATGATTTAACAAAATAAAAGCTACAGTGATCAAAAAAGTTTGAAATTCAAACTACTAGTTTCGATTTGTACCTGTTACATTAGTTTGTTCAAACAAGTTGACCTGATTTGGATATACGAGTTGAACTTTTTTTGGATACCCTACTGATAAACTAGGCTTGAAATGAATAACGTGATCATCCTGTGTGTGCTAAACATTACAGTTACATCAGTAAAATGTATGTGTCATACTAATTGGTTTCTAACTCCTAATGACTTCAATAACATATCAGATATTGATACGATCTAATAAGTTTTTAGAAATAACAGTAATGAAATAAAACATGAATACAAATAGTAAACCACTTATCATATTACCATATTGTCTAAAAGTAACTGATAAATTGTTTGTGTTGTTGTTGATCACTACAGATATAACAAACAAAAACCTATCTTCATGATATTTTTCATTATTAACAAAAATCAGATGGAAACTTGATCAAGATTAAGAAGTATTTGACATACAGTTTACTATGATTTGCAAGTGTTTAACATCCTTGATTTTATACGAGGCAGTTAATTCACTAAAAATACACAACTAATATAATATTCGGCCGTCCAGTGCTTCCAGGTTTTCAATGGTGGTCTAGCTTCAACTGACTCATAATTTCAATCTGTGAAATTTCTAAAATCTCCATAAACCCCATTCTCATAATAATCAACTGCTCACGAGTGACTGACTTCAGGAAAAACTCCCGAAGTTCTAGTTAGAATCCGTTACCAGTGGAGTTCAACCAGGTCTGTTGTGAAATATCAACTCACTGAAGACGATGGTGTACGGTGGCGCAACTTCATGGATTGGTTGAAGCTAGACATTAACACCGTTGGATGCCAGCTCAGTGGTCTAGTGGTTAAGTGCTCGCGCGCGAAGCCAGTAGGTCCTGGGTTCGAGCCCCGCGTGGTGCGGGATCGTGGATGCGCACTGCTGAGGAGTCCCATACTGGGATGAAACGGCCGTCCAGTGCTTCCAGGTTTTCAATGGTGGTCTAGCTTCAACTGACTCATGATTTCAATCTGTGAAATTTCTAAAATCTCCACAAAACCCATTCTGATAATATAATATTCATTTGTGACTTCATTCGAGTAAAATGTTCAAACTTTCGGACGGAAAGATCATGTTTACATGTGAGTTTATTATACATAAAGGCAAAGATAAAAATGAATGTACATTTGTAAAATTCAATAATGACTGAGTTGAACTCGATTTCAATTTAGTTAGCAAAATTTATTTTTGACTAACTCATGTGTGTTAAACAGTTACAATCAATGGCAATATTCTACATAACTTACTTACATCTGTTACTCCCAGTGGAGCATAGGTCGCCCATCAGCATCCTTCAACCCACACTGTCCTGGGCCTCCCTTTCCAGTTCTATCCAATCCTTGTTCATTTTTCTCATGTTTGTCTCCATTTCTCGGCGTAATATGTTCTTTGGTCTTCCTCTCCTCCTTTGGCCTTGAGGGTTCCAAGTGAGGGCTTGCCTTGTGGCGCAGTTGGGTACGTTCCTCAATGTGTGTCCTATCCACTTCCAGAGCCTCTTTCTGATTTCTTCCTCCGGTCTTTACCTCTAACTAGTCCGTGAGCTGTCCTCCATGCACGATTTTGCAGTTTAATCTGCTATGGGAATTCCGTATGATATTGACTATCTTCTGAGGCACGCCTGACTGTCGAAGAAGCCTCCATAGTGTTGTCCTGTGCACACTATCAAATACTTTCTTGCAGTCAATGAATTTGATGTAGAGTGATGAATTCCATCCGATTAATTGTTTCACAATGATCCGTAGTGTTACAATTTGGTCTGTACACGATCGATCCTTAAGGAATCCAGCCTCTTGGTCTTGAAGTTTGGCGTCTACGCAGTTCTTTCTTCATAACCTCACTCAAATGTCCTTTTATTCTAAGCCAAATTAACTTGACTTAGAACAGATAAAGACTCGAATGAATTCTAGATGAAACAAATTTAGGGTTAGGATGAGCATCTGTGCATGAAGATCTTGAGTTCAATCCCTGTCGGGATAGTCATTTTAAGGGATATTATATACACACTAAATAGTATGAAATCCTTATCATCCAACAGATTCTGATCAGGCTACAATAATTGAAATAATATATAAAACATAATGACATATTGAACAGTAAATTATCTGCTTGAATGCTATTACGAGTTCACATTACTCGGTAAACGGAACGAAGGTCAAAGATACAGTGACATGAAAGTCTATTCTAATCCGTTGTCCTCGGCCCTGTTAACTAGGTCAAGACGTTTTGATGAGGCGTACAGAATGTATTCTACAAGCACTAACTAAGCACACAAATCAAGTTTATTTATACAATGATAGAAACGCCCTTGCGAGAACCACAAAATAACGTACTAACAAAATCTGTCAAGGATTTCTGAGTGGGAAATGTAGGCTATAAGTCAAGTAAGCGTCTCTTGACGCGAAAACATAAAATTCAAATTTTCAGAATAAAATTACAAAATTAGGACCTTTTCCAACAGTTAGTAGGTTCGTCAATAACCGATATAACCCTTAATAAACAATCATTAATGTTTCAAATGGATTTTAATTCTGCTAATTTATTTCTTAAATATTTTGTATAAAATTATACCAGTTATGCTGTATAGAAGGAAATGTATTCATAAGTCATTTGCAGCTAGATCACCACTGAACGGCCCTTTCGTTCTAGTATGGGACTCCTCAGTAGTACGCATTCACGATCCCGTCTAGAGGTTAAGCGCTCGCGCGCGAGACTGATAGGTCCTGGGTTCGAATATCGAGAGGCGGGGCCGTGGATGAGTATTTCTGAGGAGTCCCACAGTAGGACGAAACGGCTGTCCAGTGCTTCCAGGTTTTCCATGGTTGTTTAGCTTCAACTGACTCATGAATTCAACTACTGAATTTAAATATTAACTGTAGCTCATATATATAAACTTTACGAATCTTGAAAACTGAACGGTTAATTTGTTTCCTTTATTTCTTCTAAAAAAAAATAGTCCAAAAAGTTTTATTTATTCAACTAATATCCAGTCAAATAATTTATGTTAGTTATTTTCTAATGACCTTATATACTGTTCACACCTACATTAAAATAATGTATCTATAGTAACTAATATTTGATATAAGGACATTCAGTATCTTAGACTAGTTAATTATTTATTGTAAAATGATTGATTTTTATCACCTTGATAATATGATGAGTAACTGACAAATGATAGCAAATATCATTGTCACTACAGAAAATATTAAATAAAATAACAACTTTATAAATGATTAAGACGTATAAGCTTTTCTAAGCGTTCTCGAATCAAAAAGCAAACACAACTTTTAACAAGTAGGTTATAATATAATTGATGGCTAACAGTGAAATTCTAACTGTACATTTGAGCCTATTAACAAAAGACTATCCGAATGTATCTACGTTTCTATTAATGTAACTAACAAGACTTGAACGTAACTAATGAAATACAATTTAAATATGAATGTTATAATGTTAACTAAATCATAAAGTATAGCTTAGCTTGTCTGACTTGATTCCACAAAGAATAAATAACACATATATGTGATACTCAATTGTTTTGAAGTGCTTTGTTCACAGTAATGTGTTTTTCACATTAATTACAACAGTGAAAGAAATCAGCCGGGAACCTTTGATCTTTTTTAAGTGGACATCCTATTGTTGTATGAACAGTACATTCGAGTTTATTTCCTGTGCCGTAAGAATTGATTATAACCACCTACAACTAGATAAAATAAAACGGAAGCGGAGAGCACGGAATAACAAAAGCAATAATTACTACGATAGGTCAGTCGGGTCTACCATAACATGTGTCAGGTTATTACTCAAATTAGTTAAGTTTATCAGGGACGATGTTAGTGTGACGTAACAACTGCGCGGAGGTTCACGTAGAATATTCAGTAATAAAAACGATTAAGTATTTGAAGTTACTATAATCTCACTTGTGTAATGAGATATACTTACAGGTGTCAGCATATCTAAGCTGTTTTTAGCAGAAAAGTAAGTATCGATATAGCGGACAAATTTCACGGACAGATTGTGAAAAATGATTGGTGTCTGGAAAACTTATTGGTAATTTAATTCGTATGGAAAGAAGATTTAAAATGTGATTGTTTCTCTAGGGACAAATAGTTATTGATACTGTAACTAGGGGTTTCTGATTATTGAATTACTCCACTGCATGTAAAGGATAGTTTATCAAGCATTTTGAAGAAATAAATTTGATTTACTTTGGGTTTGCTCTTCTATAAAGGGTCCATACCAAGTTTATTGCATATGGACTTGTAATTCAAGGTACAATCTGTCCCAGGAATGCAAAGTGTAAATCGTCTCTGAACGGATCCCAACCTTAATTTATCCTTTATGCGAACTTTACTAAGAATAAACAATCAGTGTTATAGGAGTGATCGAACACAAACTTGACTCATTAAAATACGTGACTCGTTATGGAAGTTATGAATTATGCAAACCATAGGACGTTGGGACTTGGAAGACTATTTCGAGATCTGTTCCATGAAGGACAATTTGTAATACTATCTAAGTCCCGAGTTCACTAGTGAATGTAACTTAAATAATATCTGACCATTTATAGTAAGACCTAATTTGAGCGATGTTTGACCGAAGCACATCCATCCACATTTAAGCGTTTTAAGCTCCGACTGCCATTTTGAGCACCACTAGGCTACCTTACTGAGCTCCATATTGGCGCAACATTGTATATTTTCCAAATGATGAAGGGAAAATGAAGACACTACTTTAAGCTCATCTTCATGTAGAAGAGGCTTACCCATACCCATATCACTGGTATAGACTAAAAAAGCAAAGGACTTAAGACATTACTAAAAATCAATTTAGAATTATTCTCTTGCATGGTATAATTATAAGTGTGTTGTGCACCACTATATCCTGACTTGTTTCTCTCAGAACTAGTTAAAACTCTAGTATATATATATATCTGTTGGCGTGATCCAGAAAACTTCTTGTAAAAGACCAGAAAGGCTCAGGAAACACTAAGAAGCATTTTATCCAATCAGCGTTTAGTTGAAGTTTAGCTAGAAACATCAAGAAAGTGAAGAGTCACACGTAGAGTTTCTGAATGGCTAATTACTCTACTGCTACTATGTTTAGTGGCGTTCCAGAATTATCGGGAAACCCAAGGACATCTAAAATAATATAAAAACCCCATATTTTCTGTGCAAAAACGAACCTTTGGAGTAAATTACTTCTCTAGTGTTCAGGTCGCTGTGTAGTTCTAGCTTGAGAGTTACGAGAATGGCGTTTAATTAGCACGACTTATCAATATCAAAATGTATTTGAGTAAATGATCATTATTGAGTTTTATTTTTACCTACTGGAACTGATTATATGAAACTTAATAAGGAAAATCAAATGATCAGTTCATTCATACTTGTCACTGACATTTTTATAGACTCATGAATATCAAATTATTCTGGGTGGTAGACAAAACTTTTCAGCGAAGTTATATGTAGTTTTACTTAGATTAAACTATTCCTAGTAAATTTAACATTTATTTACGAAAGCAATGCTTGTATTTTATTTATTTGAAAACATAAATATTGGTACAAAACGGCACCGAATAAACTTGCGCCACACAAGTCACTTGATTTGAGTATGGACTGTGATACTGCCCGGGTGCATAGATCGAAGCGGTGGTTTTCTTGTGGGGCCACGCCCATAGCCTTCGGCCTAAAGGTCTGATCCATAAGACAGTGGGGCAACGTTTAGCGATGTAGTCCCACGGTAGTCGGTGACCAACAATAAGTTCATACAACATTTGCTCCCTCAGGATCCTGGAGCCTATGTACACCATTGGTTTGAAATCAAGGTTTTCCAACTCTTCTAGGTGAACCCTTCACATCCATTAACCCGGTTAAGGCGCTGGACATTCGCTTTTCGTCCGCTCAATATCGTAAGTAACACCTCCGCCACTCGAAGGCAGTGAGTACGACTTCCCTGGAAATATTTGTATATGCGTGACCGTGTGAGAACATTTCGAGAGGGAGAGTTAACTCTCCCCACCCTCATCCGTACCAGGACATTTGGGAGCCAACATTTCCATACTCACTTAGTTTTCGATAGACTATCTTGTGATATGATAATTAACCAGGCAATTTACCAATAAAACCAAATCTGATGTGAAGTTTACTAAATAATTATAAAATCACTTATGAAAATAAAATCAAGGAAATTTTTTTTCTTGGTCACTGATCAATGTGCATTCAACCAATCCCTTCAAGACTTTAGGTATATCACTCCAGTAAGTCATAACTAATAAAGAATCTATAGGGTTCCTGTCTTCAATCACTTAATATTAATTGAAATCACAACCCATCAGTCTGTTTCTCTAATCTAATTTTTTACAATTCATAAATAAATAACGTAAAAAATAAATCTTGTTCTCTTTGGGATAAACTCAAGTGATTGTGAGTCTACTGAGTGTGTCAGTCAAGTAAATTTGAGCAATCAGACGTTGACATTATTTTCCTTCAAACGAAATACCATGAGGTTAAATTCTAGTACAAGACCCTGTAACTGATTAATTAGTTACATTACTGCCAATACTATTGAAAATTTAAATATGATCAAACTGTTGAAGAAAACAAACTAACATCTTGTTTATTACGTAGAGTTAGTAGATCTCTGTTAGTTAATCCATAGTCTGTGAATATACTTGGACTTATAATTGATCCAACACCAGCTTCATCTCCGTAATGTGCGTGATCAGTACTTCTACGAAACTGATAAAATGCAAAAGAACAAGATAAACACATATATTATTTGGTCTATTTGAATACAATCAACAAATAAAATGGTATATATTTTAAATGTTTCCCCCTTTCAGTCCAAAAACTGTTATTACTATTTGTTGAAAAGGTTTAAAATCACTTTGATTACCAGTATAGGGGTTGTGGTGATTATCAAGTTTTTGATTGAGATCATAAACCGACTGATGTTAAACCACCGTTGGAAACCTGGAAGCAGTGGACGGCCGTCTCGTCCTATTGCGGGACTCCTCAGCAGTGCGCATCCATGATTCACATCGCGGGATTCGAACCTAAGGCTTTCAGTCTCGAGCGAGAACACTTAATCTACCGGACTACTGAGCCGGCATCCAATGGTGTTAATGTCTAACATCAACCAATCCACGAAATGGCGCGGTGGTCTAACATCAATCGGTTCATGATCTTAATCACTTTGATTAACTTGAAGATATTCTGTTTCTCACGATTAATATTTATAAGAGTGTGCTTGAAAACCAGGGAGCACTGGATATATGTTCGATTTTCTCTATGGAAAGCTTGCTATTATGTATTTCCCATTAAGATTTTTAACTCCCTTTCGTTTTGGTATGGGACATCTCAACATTGTGTAATCATGACTGTCTCCACTGATCAGACCCAGAACCTTCTCATCTCATGACAAGCACTTAATTAATGAAACCATTCGGTTGCCATCACATGGTAAAATTTCAGCTCCAGTCATTTCGATATCAGTTTGAAATCAGTCTGTGACCAATATAATTGGTTTAGAATAGCTCACACCAATCACTAATGTTAAATGGACAAGTTATATCTAAAATAATCTCAGTGATTGAAATTTAGATTATCCCAACGTTGGAATTATTTAAATTTCAATCGTCAACATCATTTCAGTATGATATTGATATTTTATGTCTTTTACATAGTGAGCACCCAGTTTCTAACAAATTATTCCTTCAAATTTTGAAGAACGTTCATTGTTAGATATTCAAAACTAAGTAAAATGTTGAAGTGTATGTTGTCAGGTTCAACCAGTCTCTCTCAATAGGTCATTAGTAAATGTTATAATACACATGGTTTCTTCTTCAGTCCACGAGTCGTATTTTCTTGGACCAGATCACTTATATAAATAGTTCAAGTAAAAACCAAGTCTTCAAGTTACGTAATCGATTTTAATGAACCTCATTGATATATAATTTAAATTCATGAGTCAATTAAATCTAGATCACCATAGAAAACCTGGAAGCACTGAATGGCCGTTTCATCCTAGTGTGGGACTACTCAGGACTTCTAAAGAATTCAACTATCAAAATTACTATAATATCCACAAAATCCCCTATCTGAATATAATTTAAAGTTAGTAAATGATTACTTTTCACAAAATTGACATATCGCGACCATTAAAGAATACTTACTACTTAAGCGAAAAAAAACTTGTATTATGATAAGACTATAATTGTTATAGCATTTTGTTTATCATGAAAAAATGTTGCACTTTACCTTAGGTACTAATTTATCAAGTTGAAGGCTTTTTTCACCAAGAATTTCCCAATTATCTGTATTAATTAATCCATTAAGATTACCAGTATATATGGAATTTGTTGTTGTCCAATGATGAATATTTGCTTGAATAGCACGTTGAAGACGATTGCGGACATTTTCAGTATCTATTATTTAAAAAAAAATACATTTCAATAAAATTAACTATTGATAGTCATTTATAAGGACTTATATTTGTTTGGCATATATTATTGGCTAACATAACTTAGTCAACTAGTGAATAAAGCGCCTGTGTTCGAAACAATGAGTACAAGATTAGAATCTCAACGTACCAACGATACCATGATATCAATGAATCAATCTGACAAACCTTAAAACACCTGGGTTTCCAATTTTACATTAAGCTACTATTTAAAATATAAATCTGAATATATTTCTGATCAAAAAGTAGAATGAATTGAAATCCAATCAACAATGAAATGAATGATAAACAATAGAAAGTGATTAAGCCAATAGATTTCTTTTTGGGACGATTTCATTCTTAAAGCTGCAAGTTGCCAATAAATAAAGTTATTTAAAAACCTCAATATTGATAAAAGATAATTTCCTTCATAAATTACCCAGGTATTTCTAAAATATTAGAAATCTTGATGATAACCTGCTATGAAAAGAATTTTTTGAAGTTCTAATAAGAAATCATGACCACTTGATTTCAACCAAGTGTATAGAATGAAACAGAAATAATTGGTTTTTTCATTTTTTTTTCTTCTACTCATAAACTGAAGATATGAACGTGAACTTTTGAGTGTTAGCCGACTCACTGGTCTGAAAGAGTCGTATTAGCTTCAATACATGAAAGTTCCATTCGGATAGGAACTACATTCTCATTACTTTTTCTGGATGTCAACATTTCATGATGAGAATTTGCTTCAACTGAACAAATCTCTATCTAATCATGTTAATTCTTGATAGAAATTATTATTACAAGCTTATAAACTTAAAATTTATTCATGCACTAACTTAATCAAGAATTGTTGAATAAATTGGCGGGTAAGCAATGAACCTACTGTAATAATATTTCCTAACTTGAAACAATAAGGATTAAATACATTTTTACCATAATAGTAGGTTTAACATTATCATCCTGATCTTTCATAGTTCAAGAATGTTTGGATATGATAGCGCATGCTTTTACCACTTATTCTTATTAGATACTCGCTCTTAAAATACTATTTTGTGATATTGATCAGTTTAATTGTCTTTTTTGAAGCATAACTGATATTCCTTTCTTCATACTTCGGGACTTTTTATACCGTGTCATTGTGTAGTGCTTATTCGATTTATCGGCAAGACAATAATTAATGGACGAGCCAATCAGAAGTGTTTGGGGAATTTCAAGGTCACGGAGTCAATTTCAGTACTTGATGCTCACGTACAATCGGTTCTTAGCGGATTTTAGAGAAAACGTGATAATTGAGCAACTACAACAAATGGGACTACTAAAAAGTTCCTTCATATGTGATTATGGTAATCAAATGACTTATGAACCTTGTGCGGACTACAGTAATGGTGTTGTCTTCCGATGTAATATGTGTCGGAGGAAGAAGTCTGTTAGAATATGGTTTTTTGGCTCGATCAAGATTATGGCAAACTATGACTGAATAAAAAAACCACCAGTAACACTGACTGCTACCGAGTACTAAAATATATACGGATGATTAGAGAGTGTACAGATACCTACATAGACTTGGTTATTTGCATCGTGTCGTTATCCACAAGTGATATTTTTTAAGCCTAACAACCGGAGTGCACACAAACACTATTGAAGCTATGTGGTTGAGGCTGAAAGGGTTTTTGCGACCTTATCATGGCTCCAGATCCCGACTATTATGAAGCCATATGGATGATTTCCTCTACCATATGCATTACAGTTTAAGAACCTCTGAACCATGTAAAAGAAGTGTATTCACTTTAATTCTTTGGTTTTGTATAATATATTTTTATTCTATACTAGGCGTTTTTTGATTGGCTAATATTTGTCAAGGTCATTTAAGATTCGTTCAAAGTTCGTCCATAAATTATGGTCTTGCAGATTTATCTAGTTGCATCAAATCGGCTTTTATATTAGAAATAACTTCCATAACGATATTTTTGTCATCAACTTATACAAATCACATTTACCCAGTCAAAAAATAATCTAAGTATTTAAGATAACATGATGTCCATTATTTATAAGGTAAAGAATGAATATTAACTCAACCGAACTAATGATATACGACAAGAACACCTCAACTGTTGGAAAAGCACGCTAACACAGATCTCTTACAAAATAGTTTTTGCTATTCTTTTACAAATTCAAAATCATGGTGCATCGGGTCCTTGTGTAAAGTCACTCATTTATCTAAAAAAAACCCAGATAAAGCAAGCTGCGTTGAATATGTTGGCGAAAATCACTAAGGACTTATCGATTCCTGGTTTGGTATAGTAATAATTCGAACTGCGAAACTAATACTTTAGGGTTATTATTACTACCACATGGAACTATACTTTGATGAAATACTTTTCAAACTTAACGTACCCTCATAACATTCTGGTTTAACAATACTATTATTATTATTACTAGTAATAATAGTAAAACCAGAACAGCAATTTCGCATAGATTTATCATTATTCCAATTCAATAATTCACTTAATTTACACCAATCAATTGCCCAATTAATCATATCATTCTCAATATGATAATGTTTCTCATTATTTATATTGTTCTCTTTATTATGCTTTATACATTCTTTAACATGTTCAATCATTTCATTTGATGCTGGTACTGTGATTAAATCAAATAAATGTTCTGTTAACTCTTCATCTAATGGTACTTGAAAGTGATTAAAAATTTGACGTGCATCAATCATTGGAATAAGATTCGACTAAAGGATTTTTTTTGAAAAAAGAAAAAAAAATATATGTACATAATTACTTCGTTGCTAGAAACTCATGTTTAGTTAACTTAATATACAAGACTGAGTGAAAACAAAGTATGTGTGTACATGAAATCTAATGTATAAGTTATATTATTATTTTCATAACAATTGATGATCATAAACTCCTAGGGAATAAAGAACAAGTATGCTTTCTTTCAACTTAGAACTTATTAGGCTCATAACTCCACTATCTTTTAGATAACACAGTTTATTTTCGTCAAATCAATTAGATTAAGTAGCTCAATGAAAAATGCTATACTTGCCATATCTCCATATGTGAAACAAAACATTCTCGAGTTAATCCAAAACGGCAATAAGGGCACCTTTCTGAGAAAAAGCTTTATAAAAGATTGAATTTTCTTCTCTTGTTCCAAAATCGGCAATCAGTAGACGAGGTAGGGAAAACTAGTTGACAGAAAGTCTGGGCTTGTCTAGAGAGGTCGCGTGACGTTTATAAAGACAACCAGTCACATCCCATCCGAAGTCGCGAATGAGATATTTCTGAGGTGGCATGCATTGGAGGAGGTAAAAATGTCTGAGCTGAGGTGTCTGTGTCTGGGGCAGAAAGATAAATTTACAAATTTGGTTCTTGGAATTATACTTTCTTAGCAGTCTCAGTTTTTCTAATTTCGGATAGGGGCTTTAGTATGATTTAGGAAGTATTTATTGCAAATAAGTCAGACCCCCGAATCCAACTCTCACTGATTACGTTTGTTAAAAATCGGGTGATAATGAAAGTAGTTTTCTAAAGTATTGTGCTTTCTTCAAAACTCTCAGATCTTGATTTCAATACCCAAAAACGTCATCCGTAAAACTATTAGTTAGTCTCAATTTATTATGTAATACTGTTCTTCGCTTTCTAAACTTCACTAGTTCTCCTGATGTACATTTTGGACAAAATTCCTTTCCAAGCTGTGAAATGCTCTGCGAAATGCTTTAGTGATTTTACCATATACACATTGTTTAAATGAAACAATTAGAAATACGATTAAAACGCAATTCCGATAGTAACAAGGGGTACAAATTCTACAATGAAAGACAGGGCACTTATGCTTTCTAACACATCAGGCTAGTGAGTATCCACTTGCATGAAATATAGATTCAGAGTTTCCAGCCTTAATGACAGTGGTCTTTTTTTAACTTGTTATAGCCGATTATAAGCAATCCCTTTAATTTATAAAAACACATAGACCTCAACAAGAAATATTTACAAGTACGTTCAATTGTTGTATACTGTTTCAAACAGAAAACAGACTTTTACCGAATTTAGAATAACAAATATTTTTTATTTATAAGTTGTCTTCACTAATTACAAAAGTAAGATATGATCAGATATTTTTCAATGATTTTTCGTTCCCTTGACTGGATGAATTATTTCTAAAGCTTTATCCCTTTAAATAAAACCTCTGAAAAATTGGTGAGATAGAGCGAAAAGAGACTAAGGAGTTTATCAAGGACATAACATTCAGGTCATTCACTATTGGGTAAAATTGGATGATATTGGATAGTACCAGTCCGTTTTTGAATGAAAAAGAACTGATTACCATGTAAAATGTTGTATTTTAAACTATGTAAAACAACACAGTCAAACTGGATGCACAAACAGTGAAAACAGTTATTGATAACATTCACTCAAATTGCATTTTGACAAAACAAGCTACCAATTATTTGTGGCCGAATTTCTGAAAACTTCCATTGATGGCGGTGTTTAACTACATCTAATGAGAGCTTCATGGTTTATCCATTCAACACAGATAAATTAACACCACCGATATTCTTTCTCTGTGATAAATCCTCTTCAACCAGTCAAATAATTAGGTTGTGACCAATAATTTTCATACAACTTAAGCTTTATCACAGTTGCTTGATACGAAATTACAACAGAGAATCCACTGTTACTTATTATATCCTTCTGTTAAGATTTTCATGGAGATCCTTTTATTTTATTACTGAATTTCATCATAGATTTATACCAGTTGAAATATCGTTGCCAATCAAGAAGCATTATACATCTGTTTTGTCCTTCCACCGAATAGTAATTCAAACCATAGCCTTTATACCACTGGAACAGAATCTAATAATCTGTCTTTTTAATTTCAATCTATTTGTAGTATAAACCAGTGATTAATCATTGTCTTACTCCCAATATCACTGAACTCCATTGATCATCTCCTCAAAAACATGTCTAGAATCAAGTTCCTAATGTACTAGTGAAATCAATAAGTAATCAAAATCACTGACTTACCTTATTAGCTAGTTGACAAAGAGTGGCGATAATTTCTGGTCCATGTGTGTAATGTGCTTTTCTAAGAGCATGATGAATAACCGACATCGTTAATTTGAACCTATCACTGTACTGTATGTATTTTTTCTTGTTGAGTTCACTTTGTTTAGCAATTCTACTGTCGTCAGTATATAATCCAGATATATTTCTTGGTAATAAACCATGTAATAGCTGACCAACTGTAATATCATTAGTTTTATTAATTAACCCAAATATATGATCATCTGAAATTTTCATTGTATCACGTATTCTATTTTTAACAATCAGAATATAATGTCATATGATTAGTCATGAGTGACTTCATTATTACCAATACGAATAAGTAAATAAAAATAGTAAGTATTACTTTTATAAAACTTGTTCTTCATTTGTTTCCTGTTAAATTCATACAGAAACTGGGATACCTAACTTACTCTAACTATTCATCACATCAATCATAGTTATTATCTTTCAGATATAAATTTTCAGTTAACTATATACATCACAAAGTATCGAAAAAATTGGTTAACAGATGAAGACCAAAACACATACTGTTGCTCCTATTACCGTCTAATGTTACTTTGATTAGTAAACTGAGTTAACACATGCGATTGTAATGTTCAGTATACCTCGTTATCTGATTGATCATCTGATGAATCTAAAGATGGATTTAAAATAAATAACCTCATGTAAAAAGTTAACGTATGAAGTATGATGCTTAAAAGTCTCGAATCATTTCACATTGTCAGTACATTATTCCTAACACTTCAAAATAAGAAAGGCAAACTGCGTACACACACATTTTGCCTTGCTAGATTCAGTCATCTTGTCCTGAACATCACTTCATTCAAGTATTTACTGGTTATTCCTCAAAATTACGTTGGAAGGACGCTTGAGGCGGCCAAACTAAGTCATGGGATCATTCCATGAATCTGCTGATTGTTGAACTCGAATGTTTGCAAAGGTGTAGATGTTTTATCTCGGACACAATCAGTGATAGTGATCAATGGTCGTAAAAAGTGGGTGGGATATAAGCAGAGATCGATAGTGGCTAGCTGTGGAATCCAGGACGCCCATTTCGTTCGAGAAGTCGCTTTAGATTTCATTACTAGCCACCATCCATCTCTGTGTAAATTGCTTGGGACTTACTGGTAATATCGAGACGATCTATACAGGATGCATATATGTCAAAAAGAGACTGATCAGTTTCAGTCCTAACACATCAATTGGAAGGTTCAGGCAGCCAATACAAATAAAGTAGATGAGATGGTTTAAAATCTACCACAGTGGCACAGACGAATAGGTTTTTATCTCCACACTAGATCTTCAGTTTCAATAATGTTTTACATATTTCCCATATACCTTACTAATTTCATCTCACTGTGTCCATATGGTACAGCGATTCAGTCGAATGTTTGCTTGACCTAGGCATTATGTTATTTCGGTTTACTGAATGATCGATATTTCAGTTATTGTCAACTAAAAAAGCGGTAGTACGATAGATATTCGAAGGGTGCAAAAGTCATCAATTTATAAAAATAAACCAGTGGCTTGAAATTATTCTTTACAGCATAAAACATCCATCACTAACTTTGTATTGTAACTAACTGGTGGTTTGCTCAATAAACAAAAGTTATTGATGCAGAATGGTGAGGGTGATATTTGTTAGAATTCTTAATTAAATAATTAAAACCTGCTACTCATCCTAAGTATATTTGTGTTTTGTTCAGAGGCATTTTGATAAACATAGCTAAGATTTATTTAAAATATTCTCTGGAACCTTATTTCTCTCTTAAAACAACATATACACCTTAAATCAAATAATCACTTGGTCCTCCAAAATATCATGTACCAGTTTAAACATATCACAATGTTGTCTCGAAATATCAGCAAATACTTGCGTTTACTCTAAAGCTCAGGTGTAATAATAAAATAATTATATATATATATATATATATATATATATATATATATATATATATATATATATATATATATATATATATGGATGTGCTTCAGTTACGAGATCAGATAGTGAGCTTTGGACCAAATAAATGAAATTTATCAAAAGCACTTTGAGATGAAAATTTTCAGCATAATAAGGCTTATAATTTACTATTCAAGTCATATGACATCTATGGAACATTCATTTCCCTTAAGTTTTTATTGAAATCATCAATCGTAGGATAGTCACTCTAACCGTTGAAGCTACCGTTTGTTTGCTTCAGTTATTTCAATGACTTCTCTATGGTGTTTCTTTTCTCTTAAAATGTATTAAGAGAGATATAACACGAGGTCAGTTCACTTTGAATTTTCCCCACTATTCCAATACAGTTAATGTGCTTTAAAAATGGAATCACAAGGGAAATACCTATTGTTTCGTGCGTAACTATTTCGTAATGCACGGTAGTGTTTGAAAAAAAAAAACTTACGGATCTCTAACTTTACCCAAAATATCATCATGCTTCATTTTGTAATCAATTTGTGTTGTGTTCATAATGGCTATATTCTTGTTGTTAGAATCATTGAACGTCCAATTCATAGCTCGACCTACGTGTATTCCACGTGGGTCACAATTTGTATGCATACCAAATACTTGTTTGTCATTAAAACTTGGTGTGTTGATAATTTTAATAAAAAAAAGCAATATGATCAGTAGTAATGTTTATTTTAACAATAAAATTGTGTAAAATGTTCCTGAGGTTTTTTTCTTTACGCAGCTAAATAAATTAATGATTGAAAAGATCCTCAAAATTGATATATTTAGTTAGATAGATTATATCAAAGCATATTGTCAGACGATGACTAAAAGTAAAGCCTACAAGTATTTTCTCCAGTAGAACACTCGTCAATCTACATTTGGATGTCTATATTCCTCCCTAGGACCTGAACCTGGAAAGACATATCGATTCAGTGCTAAACTTAGCAACATGAAACGATAATTCTTTATAATTATTCACCATAATGAGTACCTACAAAATATCCCAGTAATTGGCTACTCCAATGTATGAAAACTTTCCGGGATGATTTTAAATAGGTGGTTCATCATCTAATCTATAACTTATGGGCGTGAAAAACTGATCTCAATGTTTTATTTTCTGTGTATATTGGTGTACAGCACTTCATGTACGATATCAATTGAACGCGTTGGTCTTCACGTCGTATATGCTACGAGCTTACCTCAACTGACAAACTACTGAAGAAAAGGTAGTAGTGAACAGCATGGACTATTCAGTAATGTGTACCCTGGGATTTAAAGTCTCACAGCGTGCATATTGCCTTTGGATTACTTAATTTCAATCCAGAGCATCATATTTTTAATGCCATTCATTTCACAAAACAACATGACGACCAATCACTTGCCTCATTTATACTAGTCTTACTCGCAATACGGTTCACCTCCACCAGTCGAAAATTCTCACCAGAACTTTGGAAATTTATCTCAACATTATTCACCAGTGAGTCCATGATTATTTTTTAACTCGTCAGTTCTAGAATAATGACAAATTATGAGTTTGCGAAATTCAGTTATAGTTCAAGTTTTTCATGGTTCGATTTAGTATTCGCTTATTTAAATAGCAGTGCTTTGTAATCCTTTTATCAAAATAAAGCACATATGAAGGTGGTATTCAAAGTCATATATTTAACTTTAATTACTCAGTTGTATGCTTCTACATTTTACCTCGTAAATAAATCACAGGCGGCAGGAACTTATAATAAAAATCTGATCCTTGTTTCCAGAAAACGTCCATACACCCTTCTTCACAGTTTGTAGTTTATTTTACCGCTCACGCAACTAGTTTAATAAATTGTCACTTGAGGATTTACCTCATTTTTTTGTCAAATAAGGTGCTATTACAAATTTGTGGTACACATTTAAATGACTGGTTACCATTAGTTCTATGTTCATTTTTGTTCGCAAATGTCAAATCAACATAGATTTACGTAGTTAATGATAGTTTAAAAAAGACCTTGACCCCAGGTTACGTTTCAGTTGTCACTTGTTACCAAGACGCATCTAGAGTGCTGAATGGATTGATGCCCTCTTAAATATCTGGACCCAGCTGAACCAGTCCCACAGTCTGTGACTTTACCAATGAGAAATTTGAACTACAGCGGACTTCCTGTGAAACTGAGGTATTTGCATTGATTAGCAACTGAACTGTTATCATTTTTATATTTGTACCGAACTGGGTGATGAATGCATTTTACGGATCAAACTCCAGGTAAGCCGCTTGTATGGAACTTAGATTTAGAATATCTTTTCGACTACATATGAAAACCTAACATCAAAATATTCCATGTGATAGCAAGTCACTTGAATTAGTGGTCAAGCTGCAACATTATTGACAGAATTTAATTGGCATCAAAGTAGCAGACAAACATGAAATTATTCATCACTCAGTAATCAGTCATTATAAAATGAAACTTATCTTAGTTGAGAGCCATGATGATAAAGATACAATTAAGGAGTTATATTTCCTTGATTATTTTATATTTTTTAAGAAATGTATATCCTATAAACTTACCCATCCATACATGTTTTAACAGTAAACATTATTTGCAGATATGCAATTTGACTAACTTTTTATAATTTCTATGCGCCTGCTCACCAGGGAATAAATGTTTATGCGAAATGAGATAATGTTGATGATTCTCTAATTCTTCATTTGTAATATCAATACGTTTTCTTGGTGGGTTTATTAAATCTCCGGCTCTATCCCCTAGATAAACGAGAATTCCGGTTACATTCTGGTAACATAGCAATCAAGATAATGGCATTAACTTTGTGACACAACAATACTTGATTTCTTGTGAGACTCTCTATACTTAAAATGAGGTCATGAAAACAAAAAACCGGATTCATTTTCTTGCTTAACTTGATCTTCGATGCAAAGATGATTTCATTTGACAAGATAAGTCAGCAATTATAAAAATAAAGTTTTATCTAATATTATTGTTAAAATATCGTAATTGGATGCTTCCTTTTTACTCAAGCTGAGCACACTTTATGTTTTAACCTTTATGGTCATTTAACTTTTTGTCTTATTGAATAGGATGACTAAGCTGTTATTATAAGCAAAGATGGATAGTGGTTAGCAGTGGAATCCAGGACGTGCGTTTCGTCCTGTTTGGGACTCGTCAGTTGGATGTACCTGCATCTCAGAGTTGATGTTCACTCTATGACTCGAACTCAGTACCGTTCGCTTCAAACGCCATCGCGTTATCCACTTAGCTACTGAGTCCTGATAGCCACTTGTTTGTGCAATGGGGTGAAGTTCAATTCACTTGATATTGCTTTTACTTGAATCTTCCCATCGATGTTTTAGGACTGAAATTGATCAGTCTCTTATTGACATATGTGCATACTGTGCGTATGCCTCGATATGGCCTTAATTTACAAGCATTATAACCAAAGATGGATAGTGGCTAGCAGTGGAATCCAGGACGCGCGTTTCGTCCTGTTTGGGACTCGTCAGATCAATAAATCAGTTTTTATTTTGTGTCCTAATGACAAATTATAACACCCAAGGTAAATATTTCTTTCTTATTTTTAGTAAACTTAAACAATTTAGACCTCGGCTGTTCACCCATCACTACCTTTTTACGATCAGTACATTTTTTCGATTATCACGTTGACTTTACCTTTTTCATATATCATTCCAAATGTTGTTTTATATTTATCCAAGTGAGGTGGTAAATCTTGTATGGATGAACAACCAAGTGGCCGTTTTTTAGTTGAATCATATATTGCTTCCTGATTTCTCGTAATTATTTCACTTAATAAAGTTTCTTTTGTTGGTCTAATTAAATCCATGATTTCAGTCCTGAAAAAAAATTTAAGATGAATAAATATAACTAAACTGGGTTAATATGAATCCAAAATACCACCATATTTAAATCTACTCATTGAGTGAAACTACTCTACTTCTTAGTGATTTTTTGTAAACAGTTTTCAATACCATATCATTAATAAATGCTGACATTTGTAGTATGTACGTTGTCAGCATATATTCAGCTGATAAGTTTTTGGAAATTGGTGTAAGCTTGGCAGATATTACAAACCAAAGAACACTGTACACCCATTTGGTTGTAATATGACTTACCAACAATTTCCACTTACGATAGTAAGCTCACCACATTTAGTGACCTATCTTTTAGTTACCCATAGTTCAAAGATGTAAAATACCAATTACTTGTGGTTTTTGTAAATCCTTCATTCTTGACGCTTGGTCTCGTTGGCATAAAAATGTACTTAACGCACCACTCTATAGTACACTTGACACTTTATAAGCAGTATAGCGTGTTGTTAACCTCAAATCATGAATCGGTCAATGTTAGATGACCATTAAAAACCTGCAACCAATGGACGGTGGTTTTGTCCTTATATGGAACTACTTGTCAGTGTTCATCCATGATCCTACACACGGGCCTCAAACCCAACATTCTTCGCATAACGCGAGGACTATTAACCTTCAAACCACTGAGTTGGCTTTCAACGGTGTAAATCTTTAAAGCCAACCAATGCCATGCTAGGGCGAAACCACTGTTCATCGGTTTCAGGTTTTTGATGGTGGTTTCAAATCTATAACTTCATGATTCCAATGAAGTTAAATAATTTTCACAACCTCAAACAGAAGATTTTAAAAGTTGCCCCATATATCCAAGCGGACATTTTGTTATCACTCAGCTCATCATGACTAGAGTGACCCTGAAAAATTTTAAGTAACCTTAACTGCAAACATTTTAATTTCCTTTCCTTATAAAAGATATTTGTGCGGACCGCTTTCAAGAACTTGGTATTATTAGTAATTCATTTTTATGTTATCTGCTTGATCTAGTTACCTAACTAGATCCATTAGACGATATATAGAATAAGAGTTCAATAATAGTTATTAAAACTATTCATTTCGAACTTTAAAAACAAATTTGTTTTCACTGTTCATATTGTGAATATATGACTGACAAGCTCATTTTGTAAATACTTTTTAATATTATCTGTATTTATTTTGTCAATCTTTCACTGTATGTATATTTATCATTAAATGACTGTACCTGTTGTTTTAGTGAATAACCTTGAACATACTTTCCGTTGTGTTACTGACATAGCGTAACATACTGTTGCTTGCTCTCAAATACATTTCTATATACACATACCTTGTTCTACCTTCGTCTGTGATTGAGCTAACTGCATCATAAATCAAACATTATCTGCATTTATAGACTGTGAGGCGGAATATATCATACCTAACATTGGTTTACATTACTGGAGAATCCAACAACCTGAGCGGAATTACTGAACGTTTTTAACTGTGGAATTTCATTACCAGACCCAATCCGAAGACGCGTCAACTTGGTGAACTTAAGTAAGGTCCCAATTTTTCTGTTGTATTTGTAACTGTTAACATAATTATTTACTCTTTATAACTTGCCTAACATTTTTTTAATGTTCATATTTGTCTGGTCCACCACAATATACTTAAATCAATTTAGCTGATGCTAAGTTATATACTGTTTCATGTAATTCAATAAAATCATTGTACCACATAAAATATGAAGTTTTTGACGTTTGTTTCGAGTTTTACTAGCGTTTTAAGAGAACAAACATGATAGTTAAAAATTTTGAATACTTTGGACGATGAAGTGAACTGCTTATTCGTTTACTTCCACGAGAACCACTACAGTAAGACAATTTTCTGTCAGAAACAAAGGTCCAAGACAAGTCCATTGGTCATTAAAATATTTTAACGACTCAAACTTAATCATAAGCTATTTGAGTGGCATACAATCAGCTTTGCTCTATTGTTTTGCATGGAAGAAATGAACGCACAGTGCCCTTGCAGACATATCTTTTAGTTGTTAAAACAACTAAGGATGCGCCTATATTTTTGCTTGATAAAACATATTTATATGGGCTGATTGATAAAGATAGAAACATAGCCAATAGTCCTCAGTTTTAAAATACAAAGCATAAAGAATTAAATCTTTGATTTTGATGCTGGAAGAAATTAAAGGATAATTGGCTTGTTAACGTTTTATCGACAAGATATACAAGAACAGTCGGCGAGACTGTAATTTATGGACGAGTCAATCAGAAGCGTTTTAAAGACGTCAGGGATACGGCCTTTCTTTTTTTATTTCATGGGCAGATAATTTGCCCATTTTCTTTTAATTTCCACTTAGAAGTATTTATATGAAATAAATACACTTCTTCGATAGGTCCAGTTCTATGGCTTCATATACCAAAATGTCGGAGTTCTGCCTATGCAAAATCAGTCATCATCCAAAAGCTTGTGTCTCACAAACGTTTCTTTGCTGGCCACTTCATGTCGCACAAATCTTGCATTATCTAATTCAGGATCATTAACAAGAGTATGGAAGAGTTTCCACTCATTTGTGCCAGGCTTCACCCACCCGTTCGGTCTTTCAGTTATCTCCGGAACTAACTTCTGAGCTCATGATAAAAATAAGTGCATATACTCCCCTTCAGTACACTCTAAACAATCTTTCATTCTACATTTATCACACATCTCACAAGAACCAGTCTACAATAAGATAAAGTTGTGGAACTATTTAAACAGCAAACTGGTTTTAGATAGTTTGAATGACTCATTAAGAAGCCTTCTGTACTTGGTTGTACTTTCCTTTAACCCAACTGGTTTTCAAAAGAACCACTTACACGATATGTAGTAAATAGCTCAAAAATACAGCTTAAACAGCAACAAAAACCCGTGTTTGTAGTTCATTAAAACAAGACACTCTCGATCTTCATTAAAAGTAAGAAGTCCTTTTTGCTCTCTCATCGGTAGATTTAAACTTTAGGCGAGCTAATCTTGAACTGATTACTTGGTAAGTTATGTGTTTTTTATGTTCACAAACTGTTTTTTCTAGTTATTGTGGTAAATAAATCCCCAAAATATATATTGATATGTCCTTGATATTGATATTGACCTCATTAGTTTTATTGGCGATACCCTAGCTGAAGGCCATTTGGTATGCTTTCGCATCAGATCATGTGGCTATGCTTGGCATCCCTTGAAACTGCTAGCCAGTCTATATCAAACGCATCACGACGTGTCCGTCCCAGTTTGGAAAGGATAGGAGGCTTAATGGCCTGTGTTAGTCCTGGCAATAGTGGTCTCTCAGTTGATCCAACTTTCTTCTGGAAAATTCGACGGATGAAGCCCCAATCACGTGCTGAGGTAATGAATTCCACTTGTTGATGATTCGATGGGAAAGTCGATAGTCAACTGACAAGTAATTTGTCCTCGGCTTGTGAACGTTTTTGGACTTTCCTCGTAAATTCTCTGTTTTAGAAGACAAGAAAAATGATGGCATATCAGGTACAAATTTTTTAATAAGCAAGTTGAAAACTGTAATAAAGTCGCCTCTAGTTCTACGATATGACGAACGGGAAAAGGTTTAGCTTGGCCAGTCGAGCAAGAGACGGAAGCTTCGCTATTCCGGGAATCAGCTTTGTTGCTATTCTCTGAACCTTTTTCAAATTTCACTGTCTTGTTTTAAGCAATGGCTAGCCATTTGTATGCAGTACTCAAGTTTAGGACGTACGAATACTGTATGCAAACTGAAAAACGTTTTAGCGTCGACATGAATAAAAGCCCCTAAGTATTGACCACGAATTTCTACAACCTTTCGCGGCTGTTTCACAGCAGTGTGGAGTAGTCTTTAAGTCTTGAATAACGATGAACCATAAGTCATTGTGTGTCTAGACAACAGGTGGCTCAGTGTTATTAATCGTGTATGTATCTGTACCTTGATAACCGATATACATCGCAATACACTTGGGAGTATTTATTGGCAACTGCCAGGTTTGAGACCATTCAGTTAATTTCTCCAGGTCAATTTGGAGTTCTAAGCTATCACCTTTACTTCGTATCGCTCTCCATATCTTGACATCGTGAGCATATAGCATGACCGATGATGATAGGAGACGAGGAAAGTCATTTACATACTAGAGGAATAGCACTGACCCCAAAACTGTACCCTGAGGCACTCCACATAGCACAGTTTCCCATTTAGATAACTTTGAGTTCACCCGTACTCTATGTTGGCGCCCAACTGGGAGGTCTTTTATCCACATCAATAGAATGCCTCCCATTTGGACATTTCTTAGCTTATATAACAGCCAGTTGTGTGGAACTTCGTCAAAAGCCTTGCTAAAGTAAATGTAGACTACGTCTACAGGTAACTTTTGGCCGTTAAGTGCTCATCAGCTGTCATGAGCGGCTAATAAGTTAGTGAGACAAGAATGACCTATTATAAAACCGTGCTGCTTCTTCAAAAGGATCCAGTTTTCCCCGAGTTACATAAACAGCTCCTTCCGAGTAATCTTTTCTAAGATTTTAACAACCACACTAGTTGGGTTAACGGGTCAGTAATTCTCAGGTTTTAGTTTCATACCTGTTTTGAAGACAGGACTTACTATGGCGTTCTTTCAGTCTTTTGGTAAACGACCCTGGGTTACAAACATATCAAAGCATATACTTAAAGGGTTCACAACGAAGTTTGATATTTCCTGTAGTAGCCTGGGATGCAATTCATTGGGCTCCACGGATTTACCCATGTCGAGCTTATTTAGCTGACCAAAGACGCCGAGTTCTTTAATGGTCACGCTATCCAGTCTATGTGTGGGAAGATTTGTATGCGCTGACGGGAAGGGTGCTTCTATGGTATATACATTGCTAAAATAGTTTGAGAATACTTGAGCCTTACCAAAGTGGTCCTCCACTAATGATGAGGCAGTACTGTCTCCACATAGTGCAGAAATATTTCCTCTTCTTTTTGTCCTTTGGTTAATATACAAATATAAGCGTTTAGGATGTTCTATAGATTCCGTAACAATCTTCTCTTCGTACAACGTTTTAGACTTACAGAGGGTCTAGGCATAGGTATCCCGAGCTTTTTGACACTGAGATTTTGTCGCATCAGTCCCCAGTAACTTATATCTATCACACATTTTTCTTCTCTTATGGAAAAGGATGTGGACTTCCCTAGTGAGCCATGGTGGAATTTTTTCAGCCCCCTTGGTATAGTCCAAGAGATGTGGGGTGCGGTGGCTTTTAAGTATGAATTTCGAAATGGGTCCCAAGCCGTTTCACTTAGGGACTGTGGGTCTATTGTCCAATCCACTAACGATGCTGAGTGCATGATATCTGATATGTTGGCCTTTCAGACGTTAGGTCTGGATTGAGATGACGCGTGCTTGTGAAAGTGTTGTGGACGGTATATCCCCAAAATTCATATGTGTAATTTTATCATATCGATTAGTGTTCAAATATTTGAATGAAAGTCAATTGATGAACTTATCGATCAAATATCTGAATGCCTGTCGATTGATGAACTTAACAAGTAATTTTAAAAAAAATATGTTACTATGACAATATCGATTATATATATATATACGTTTTAAATTGTGTTTGTGTGCTCGCTCGTTTTCTGGATGTTTGTAGAATATATTTTCCATACCAAGCTTGGACTTCTCCTTCCAGATAGCGGAGCTGGGACGCATCAATAGCTAGATTACTGGTCTTTGGTCACTGAGTCTTGTTTTCGTTAGCAGATTAAGTGAACTCGTGAAGCTTTAAACCTAACAGGCTGACAGTCATATAGAAGTCAAAAGTTAAGACTGCGTGACCACTTTTACTTAGGCGTGGCATATAATGGAGGTTCGCAACGTCATCCTCATAGTGAGTCACTATAAAATCTAGTAAGGATGATTCAGGGTCCGGGCTGAATGTAGTGGCTTCGTTCACATGTTGTACTAGAGCACATGTGATAACCGCATCAACTAGATCCTGCTCGAAGGAATTATCTGACGATTCAGTTCGCAGATTTTTCAAGTCTTCCATTGGAACATGAAAGTCACCTAGGATTAGACATCGACCACTTTGTGACCAAGTATTGAGACTGCTCAGAAGAACCTCATTTACCTCACAGCTTGGACTGGTATAGACCAAACCAATCAGTAGCTCTTGTCCTTTGCATTTCATGCGGCAACTAACTGATTCACACTCCCTATTCTCATGAGATACTCTGTCGATAATGGCAGATAGGATAGTGTTCCTAGTGAATAGAGTTACCCCCCCCCCTCATTTACGCTTTTGTATTCTGTCGGCTCTTACTGATGTAAACCCTCAAAATCAAGTTTCATACTATCTGTAGACTGTGTCAGCCAGGTTTCTGTGTCTGCGATTATGTCTGGCGTTGTAGAACTAATCTATACATCTAGTTTTGATCGCTTATTGAGCAAGCTTCGGGCGTTAGTGTAACAAATCAGAAGCCTGTTTAAGAAGTTTTGTGCTTCACATAGAGTGAGTTCGGCATCATTTTCTGTCGAAGCCTTACAACCCAAAAATTTACAATTTTCATGTCCTTTTCGTCAGAGTCTAACCTAAGTTGTAGTTCTTTTTCGGCTTCCCGTCTTTTTACACAGTCTGCTAACGGCAAGTTCTTACAGATAAAAAGTAGTGAATTCTTTCATTTATGTCCATTCTACAAAAATGAAGTCGCGTTCATTCGGAGATTTGAATACTACTTTAAGCAGTATGGATTGATTAGGCTTCAAGTTCGCTAGAATACCTAGTCTATACATTTTTAGCAAGCTCACTCTGGAGATATTTTGAGGCATGAGTTGATTAAATAGCTGTTTTATCAGCACAATGTCATGCTCAAAACCAGTTTTTGGTTCAGATCTTTTACTTTCCTTAATTCTATGAAAAATGACCGATCTGTCACCCTGATCATCTTTCAATTCCTCAACTACTTTTATGGAGGCAGGATCGCCTTTTATATCGCTATGTTGTTTCTTCATTACAACCTGTGCTCACTCGTCAATGTTGCTTGGAAAAGCAACCACAATCGTGGTAAATATACTGTGGGATTCCGGAGGGTTGTAGAGGACTTAGGTTAGGTATTGTTTCCCGCTGGAAATAGATCGAGCGGTTTCTAGGCGTTTCCTGGTGGATACCATATAATAATTTATTCTCAAATAATAGTTTGTTACATGAGGCATGCTAGTTTACAGGCAAGATCAAATTGTTACAAATGATATAATTCCCACTGTAGTAAATTACTCGGCTGGGTTGATAATTTATAAGATATGAATGTATATGGTTTTAATATGTACCACAGTCGGCGCGCTTCATGAAAGTTGCGTTGCGAATGTGCAACTGATGGTCAAGGATAGGTCCATTGAAGGTGGGGGCTTCTAAATGTCGCAAGCTTATGTCCCTTTAGAATGTCTAAGGCTTTAATGATGGTGCAGGATGAAGTCACCAGTTCCATATCTCAAGGGGTCCTAAAGAGGGAGCAAGTAAAATAAAAGATGAGAGGCAGATTAGCCAATATTCATGAAGGAATGTTTAAGGTATGATTACTCAGTCTAATTTTCTTTTATTAAGGTATTGTTAGGAATGAGCACTTTAATAGGTTAAAGAAAATAAGTGTAAACAAGGTATGAGTGGACATACAACTGACAAATGGAGGGGATTCAGAAAGGAGCTGAGAGTATGGGATTTTGTGTGGTTATAAAATAAAATAATGAGATCTAAACGTCTCACTGTTAAAGGTTGCACTAACAAACAGTCCAAATAGGTCTGTCTTGTAATGAATGACGAGAAATGTAGTCAACGTGTTGAATTTGTTTGGCACTTCTGTTCTGAACCGTATAGTCATATGCACTCCAAGCAATACTCCATCGTTGAAGCATAGCAGCTGAGGAACGTGCTAAGGATTTTCCAGGATGATAAATAAACTTTAAAGCTTTGTGATCCGTAACAACAGT